TCAAATGGATCTTGAAGAAGAAGAACACATTTTTTACATGTTGTGATCATCTTGATATTGTTTTAAGACATGTAAATTTTTGCAATCTTGATGCGAAGATTTACTTCAAGAGTTAAAAGTTTTACAAAATCTTTTAACAAAAGAAATAAAAACGGATTTTGATATATTGATTTATTTGAAAAGATTGGAGTACATTCTGAATACATGTATTCCTTATAGAATATTATCGACAATTCTTGTTATTGTTGCATCTATTGGAAGAAGTTTTTCGAAATCGAAGTTATTAAAATCTTATTTGTGATCAATCATGTTAGAAGAACGATTGAATGAGTTAAGCAAGACTTTCTAAAAAATATTGATTAAGAAAGTTTAATTAGTAAGTTTGCTTATAAAAATGCGAGAAGAAATACTTTTACATGATTTGTTATATTTCAAGTTTTACACTGTATATATATATGGAATTGTACAAAGAGTTTAGTGGTTTGGATGGTTCTTTGTTGATGACATATGAATTTTGATAAAGTTCAAGATATGCTTTTGAGATTTATTTGTGTTTTTCTTGTTCATGTATGTAAAAATAAATAAATAAATTTAAATATCATATTTTTGCAATGAAATAGTATTATTGAATTTTTTTTTTTTAATATATGTTTTAGTTACTTGAAGCGGGCGTCATTTTAAAATCTCGCACAGGGTACTAAAAATCTCAGAGCCGGCTCTGCGTGTCATAAGGGACTTCCTAATGTTTAAATTCAAATGAAGGAAAATTTGAATACTTTTGTTGCAAAGAAACGTAAAGCCCAAGAAATTCTTGAAGAGTAGAATCCATATTGTTCTTACCAATTTATGTTGTTGAATTGTTGATAGTGATGAAAAACTGTCAAATGGGCTATTTGTATGAATTTGTTCATGTATAATATGGTGGATTGGAACTTGGGCCAAAATGGTGGATGAATTGAGTACGTATTTCGGAAATAACTTAACAATTGTGTAAATAATTTAACAAATGCGAAAGGTTGAACATACATATAAATAATTCAAATGGATTTAGAAAAATGTCAGTTACACAATTGCATTTCAATCTTCCTTTTCAATAAACTCAATCTCAACTGTCATAGGGCAAATGTCAAAGTACAATTAGAAAATGAAAGTTGAATCTTAAATGCAAGTGTAATTGGTAACCCTACTAAACACTATTGAAGTGTAATGCTAAGAATTTAATGAAATGTTCCAAATCAGTAAGTGCAAGTATCATACCCCAACAATGACACTTTTAACTACACATACGTATAAATAACATTTTTTACATCAAAATCGCACAATTGGAGCCAAATACTACACAGTACAAGTATAAAATTATATTTGTCCTCTATAATTTTCCTACTATTACTGATACAATAGAACAAGCAACTGAGAAAGACAAAAGTTTCCTATTCATTGCTGAAGTAAACAACAATTTTAAGAGTCAGGAACTATCACCACCATCTACAAAATGAGTTTTATTTCATACTTCAAGTGAGCCAGTACTTTTTAACATAAAAGCTGAGAAGAACATTGCTACCTTGCTACCTTCAGCTTTGATCAAGTCAAAAAGAAAGGAAAGCTTGACTAATTATCGTCATCCCTTTTTTGCAGACAATATCAATGCTACAACTTAAAAGTTTGCTTTGTTCATTTGCTATCTCCATCTAAATGATAAAACTGCACCACCAACGAACAACTTTGTTTTATTTTGTAGCACTGATTTGTGTAAAATCCCATGAAATTCAACTAGTGCAACAATGTAGCTTTGCTTTTGCGCAAATAATCCTCGATGAATTTCGAACTCAAAAAGGATATGTATCCACCTTCATGATACTTCTGTAGCTTGTAACTTAACTATGGTATATGAAATCTAGCCTTTCGAATGTACAAATCACCCTTTGTTTACACATTACAGTACTATTTTAAACTGCATCTTAGTATATCAATTGTTTTCAATACTAATACGAATATTTTTTCTATACCTACGCTATTACATAGTCAACTAAATCATGTCACGTACTTTGCGCGTGCATTCCACTAGTATTTAAGTAAAAACCTAAATTTGGAGTTGAATCAAGCAAGAGAAGAACGTGAAACTTAATTGGAGAAAAATAATGGAGTTTGCATGCTTTTCGAGAAGCTCAAGGGCTTGATTGCTAGGCTTGGAATTTCAATTGGAAAATTCCATAAGTTTTGGAAGGCCATATTTATCACTTGAAAAGTTTGAGACCAAAATATGTGAAATTCGAATTTAAGAGACCAATTTGGACACTTTGGAAACTTGAAGGACAAAATTGAAAATGCCAAAAGTTTGAAGACTGAAGTGGGAGCATTTGAAATTTTAGGGGAACAATTTTGACTTGTTGAGAAGTTGAAGGACCGAATAGTTAAAATTTGAATTTAAGAGACCAATCTGGACCCTTTGAAAACTTCAAGGACTGAATTTAAAATGCCAAAAGTTTGAAGACTAAAGTAGAAGAATTTGAAATTTAGAGATCAATTGACTTGAGAAGTTGAAGTACCTAAATGGACAAAATCAAATATTTAACGTCAGATTTGAATGTGTCTAAAAGTGAGTACATGGGATGCAATTATTGGCGCCTAGGCACCAATTGAACACCCAATGTGAATTTTGCATGTAGTACTCGATATTTTTACCATTTTTGTTTGACATGTACTCGTTGGTCATTGATGCGCACTTTCCAAGCATGTTTAAAAATCTAAAAAATATATTTATAAATGTATACCACTAGGAGTGGTGTATAGGTGCAACACTTGGGAGAGTCGTAATCCTCACAACGGAAAAAAAATTACAGACTCTCTGTCCGAGAAAGATGAATTTACTTCCATTTTTACATAGATTATGTAATTAATATAGTTGTAACCGTACATTTTACTTACATTTTTCTAATGTACTTCTTCACTGAATAGTGGATTAAAACTTTAAAGAAGAGTGGTTCATATTTGTTAACCACAAGACAAATTAAAAAAATTAAAAAGCCAACTATACTCAATAAGAAAAGCGAGATATAATTTAGGACAAATAAGAAAAAAATGCAAGTCAGTGGGAGTATATATATAATTTGAAAAGTATTGTATGCAGATCTTTTATATAAAATACCCAATTAAAAAAAAAAAGAAAAAATAGTCAATCATCTAATACAGCATTTGAGGGAAATCAAATTTTCAAGGCTTAAAATTAGTAATTGTCTTAGCCCATATTTGTTTCTCATTATTTTCAAACACTTTTATTTTTACATAATTATTTTCACATTAAATTCACACCATAAAATATTCTACACGTAAATTTAAAAAAATTATCTACATTTTAACCACACATTCTACTAAAACACTATTCAAAAATCCTTTTTTTGTTTAATGACCAACAAACAAGGATTTAATTGGAGTCAACATCAAAGCCCCCGTTTGGTAGCAATTTTTCACCTTAAAAATCAAGTTTTTGATCGTTATTTCATTATTTCAACCGTCATTTTTGACTTTTTCATTTACGAGTAAGATCTACTTTTTTCTCTAACGACAAAAAAATGAGATGCCATGGACTTTTTACGCAAGACTCGAGCAAATGAACGAAATCTTTTTCTCAATAAATGAGGGATTCATGAATTCCGAAGATAACCATGTCAATTTTTATATTCAATTATTAACAAGTTTAAAATAAGAATAAGGCTTCTTGTAAATTGTTTGTTTGATATGGAGTTTGACACTCCATTATTTTCAACTGTTTTCAAAAATGGAGTAGGTGGGAAAGTGTGTTTTTTTCAAAAACTGTCCAATGTGATGTCGCCACATGATACAATGTAAAATTTAATGTCAAACTTAATGTACTTGTAGCATGATTCTTAAAATAATGAAATTAATCCTTATTGATTATTTAATATTCTTTATTCTTTTACTTGTATTGATTTTATCAAATGCAGTTCATCTATCTGTGGTGGAAATTTTTTTGAAATTTATTTTTTTGTTAAATTTAGTTATACATTCTTCTAATAAAATAATTTTGTACATGAATTGTTGACCTTTTTTTTTTTAATATTTAATCACACTAAAAAGGTACTTTTTTCAAAAAATCAATTTTCAAAAAATTTACATGGCATTTCGTAGGGCTGGACAAATCTCCCGAATCGAACCGACCGAACTACCGACCGAACCGAACCCGAACCGAACCTGAAGGTTCTTGTCAAATTAAATACCCGAACGGGTATCTGAATTGAGAACCGATAGGTACGGTTCGATTCTAGACTAAGAACCGAAAAATAGAATAAGAACCGAATCTTTCTAATTTTTTTTATATTGATTAAATCAAATTATTTTAATTTTAATTTTTTCTAAACAAATTAACAAATTAACGATTTCTGAATCCAAATTTTTGGTCCAATGATTTGTTTCATTTCTAATTTGTTAATTTTTAGCCCAATTACCCATTTTATTGTTTCATTTCTTAGCTAAGCAAGATCAAATCTCCTAAATAACCCTAAACATCAACACTAAAGTGCATAACGTTGTCTCGACTCTCGCACTCACTCTCGCAGCCTCGCTAATATTCCAAAACCTATGCAATTATCAACCGACACTGTGACCTTCGATCGAAGCTGTGACCTTCGCCAACCGAAACTTTGATCATAGCGATCATTTGAACAAGTTAATTTACTAGTTTCTCACATTCCAAAATCATTGAATGTATCATTAGTTGCATTTATATAATGTTGTTATAAATGTTAAAAAATTTAATTATAGTACAGAACCGAACGGAACATAACCCGAACGATTCCATAATTATATTTGGACCCGACGGGTCCATTTACTAGATATCCGAAAAGTTCGATTCTGTTCGATTCTCTTTAGAACCGAACCGAACCCACCTGTGCCCACCCTAGCATTTCGTGTAGGGCAAAAAAAAAAAAAATGATAATAATTTAAACAGTTCCAAGAAAATCCTAAAGGTCGTGAGAGGGGCACCAACCCACCCACAAAATACCCGTACTACAGCCAATTCTGCACATTTGTTTTGGATCTTCATAGCCCAGATCTTAAAATTTGTCTGGGTTTCACCGTTTGTAACTTTGTGCGCCATTCTGAAATCTTTAGAGGTAAGTGTAGGAAATTCGATTTTTTAATGTACTTTAGAGGGTTTAGTGTTGGATTTCAATTTCTGTATGAATTATACTGTTTTTCTCGTTCAATTGCGTATGTCTTAACTGAATTATGGTGGACAAAATGCTTGTTCAATTCGATTTTTTATTGTACTTTTATACTGCTGATGGCCTCATATACCTTGCCTATTAGTTTTTGTTGTCTAAAAACTTTCTATATTCAATAAAAGCAGATATTGATAATAATCTCAATTTTCTTTATCTTGGATCAGAAATTTACTTTTCGCGCTAGTTTTGTATATGAATTCTTTCATACAGCCGTTGCTCTTTTGTTAGAGATTTGGGATTTATCTATTTAAATAAACAATGGAGTGAGAATCTTTTAACCTGTTTCAGTTTATTATTAGGTTTTTATCATGCTTTTGTATCGGAATATGCTCTACTTTTATCTTTTTTATTAGTCTTTATGTTTATCTGTGGACTGTGCAACAAGCAGCCGCATTTTTTGGATGTATTTTGTGTTTATGCCTTTTGTTTCGATCTTTACTTTGGATCCTGACATTTGTTTATGCATTTGGGGCAATGACTATTGATCCATCATCTTGTGCGTAGCATAGTGTTAGTATTAGCTCACTTTTATTCATTTGTTGTTCCCACCGATTTCAGTAAGAGAGTAGACGGTAGATAAATTTATACTCTTCCTCAGAAAGAGTCTGGCATATCTTACATTGCAACTTATAATGCTGCATATTACTTAAGAGTTTGATTTTGAGAAGTCAAGCATTGCTAATAAGAATTAGAAGCTTCACAATCATTTTATTAGTTTCACGCTTGATTGAGAAGCTTTAATCATTTAAATTGCTTGGGATAATTGACATTCTTTGAAGTTCTTGACTCTGTCACTAGCCTTTGTATTGCATTGTCATATGAATTTCAGTTTGTTCCTCCCATGCTCTTCAATACTGCTGTTTTTCAAGTTCCTATTTGGTTTCTGAAAGTAAAAATATATCAAGCTACTAATAGTTTACGATGAACAGGATAGATAATGACGACCCAAACAAGAATTGGCCTTGCTGGTCTTGCTGTGATGGGCCAAAATCTGGCCCTTAACATTGCAGAGAAAGGATTCCCTATTTCTATTTACAACCGAACCACTTCAAAAGTTGATGAGACTGTAGAAAGAGCTAAATTGGAAGGCAACCTTCCAGTGTATGGCTTCCATGACCCTGAGTCCTTCGTTCAATCAATCCAAAAACCGCGTGTCATAATTATGCTTGTTAAGGCTGGTGCCCCTGTTGATCAGACCATCAAAACCCTTTCTGTTTACATGGAAAAAGGAGACTGCATTATCGATGGTGGTAACGAGTGGTATGAGAATACTGAGAGGAGAGAGAAACAAATTACTGAATTGGGTCTGCTTTATCTTGGAATGGGAGTTTCTGGTGGTGAAGAGGGTGCTCGTCATGGACCCTCTTTAATGCCTGGAGGTTCATTTGAAGCTTACAAGTACATCGAAGATATTCTTCTTAAGGTTGTTGCACAAGTTCCTGATAGCGGCCCCTGTGTTACGTACATTGGCAAAGGAGGGTCAGGCAACTTCGTTAAGATGATTCATAATG